GACCCATGCTGCCGACATTCTACATATCACTGAGACAGGGAGGTGAAATTTTCCTGCTTCCAGTCTAATTGTCTTTGACAATTGCAATGCCTAGTGCTACACTGCTTGTGTTGTATTTAAAAACAGGGGAAAGAGGAGAGACTTGTTCATTAAAGATGCAGTATCCCTGGTTCACACAAATGCATCTGGCAGGTTCAAAATCGAATGTCAACCAAAGGTCTTAGCAGAGTGTGAGCTTCAGTTCATGTGTTGGTTAGTCGCAAGTACAGCTGGTTGTGAATTCTGAAATACTAATAGCTCCAGGTTTGCTAATGTGCTTCATATAAAAATCGGCAGGTGATTCAACAACTGAAGGCTTTACGTTTCAAAAGAAAAAAAACACATTAAAACACTTTGAATTGTAAAATGATCATGTTTATCTCTGCATATATGAAGAAAGGAAGTAACAAGTTGCTTCTGAATAATGAAAAGTAGACATTTGTTTTAAAGTTCAAATAGGTGGTGAAAGAACACACACACATACAAACACACACACTAATTTTATATTTATATATATATATTAGAACTTTACTTTAGTGGCCTCAATAGTTCAACAAACTGCGTCCCTTTCACTTTGCAAAATACAGATTCAATGTTCATGCTACCCAATTCTTGCTAAGAAACATGAGAATGGGATTACAGAAGTCTCTTTCTGCTTGGAGTTGGATACATTTTTAGAGAAAGAAATTCTAAATGTCTCTAAAAACATATTTTCCAACCCACAAATATATTTAAATTTACAAAGACCTATTATAGGAACTAATTTGGATTTTTTTTTGGATGTGTTCTTTTGAAAACTGCATAGCCAAGTACTATGCAACCCATGTAAATTGACCTTGCTATTTTACATAGCATAGCCTCTGGATAGCTTTTATCACTTGCCCAGATGGTGTTTGGCCTATGTATTTTAGTGGAATGGTTTATTTTCTCCTTGATAGGTTTCAAATGCACAAGAAAACATTATACCCGTCTATCTGCATTTGAGTAGAATACAAACTGACTAATAGATAAACATTCCGTGTGAAAGTAAATAGCCTTAAAGTATACTGCCTTCACATTCCATTGATCAGCTCAGTCAGCAAAGTTTTTCATATTGTCACTAATGTTCTAAATATTTGGGAGAGAAGCATGCCAGAAGTGTAGAGTATTTCCATTTGTGTCACATATAAGGTCATTATGAACTACCTCTTGAATTTCTATTGATCCCAATACTGAAGCGGTTTCCTTCACTTCCTTTTTGTCCCTGTTGGAAATGTTACTGCAGTTGGAAAGAAGGGAATTACGGTCTGTAAAGTGGAATGGCTCAATCTCTTAGCCAGACAGTGAGGGATTTGGACTGGCTCATTACCTTACCTTCATTAATAGCCTTCTCCAAATTCTTAGGAGTCAAAAAGAGGCCAAGAGTATGAAGCCCGAATACTCAGTTGTACTATCACCAACTGTACACATTCACTTCCAAGGATGTGGTACCCCACCCCCACTCCAAGTCCCAGAACGGATGGTCAGAATAGAGCTCATTATTAAGCTAGTTTATAGAAGAGCTCATAATGCTTCCATGCAGAATCAAAGAATCACAGGAGAGCACTATCTACTCAAAGGTCAGCCATATCTCCTCCAGCAGATCTTCATTTCTTCAACATGCCCAATTTCCTAAGAGATCAAATCTTGGATTTCGTGAGGCTAAATGAAAACCACATATGACTTCAGCTTCTGCCTAAATACATGGATTTTTGACCACTCGTATCTCAAATTAATTTTTAAGTCACTCAGAGCTCTAATTTTTAAGTCATTTAAAGCTAAAAGCCAAGATGTATGACTTCAATTTATTTTCAGTTTAATAAATGAGTGTAAAACACAATAGTGCAGTCACATATTTGGTATTAAATCTTAGTAGCCACAAAAAATGTGGGTCAATATTGGATTTTCCAAAGTTGTCTAAATAAGACTGGGTTTGTCAAAACTTGCCAGACGCTTTCAAGTGAACACAGCATGTTGGCGGAAATGAAATGCAATGTCTAAAAGTCAGAAAATAGGTCAGCACTGTGCAAAAGTAAACTTGTCAGTGAGATCAATATGAACCTACAAGTTAATGTGGATATTAGAATTTCCTTACAAGGGATGTGCAGGGTAGACCCAGAACACGATTGTAGCATTTATTCACTTGTGAAAAGCAGAGGGCGTATTTAAGTATTATTTTTTGTATCCTTAATGAAAGGCACTGCTTTTTAATACGGAATATTTATATTTAAGCACAGTTTTAATTGACAGAATGTCATAGTAAATTAAATTCTGGTTCAACTGCTCAGTTTTTAGCAACTTAAAAAATAAAAAAGGGGAGTAAAGATCAAGTATCATAAAATTTCAGAAACAAGAAATCCCTCATTAGCTTTCTCTATGTTAAGTGTTTCAGAGAATAGGACATTGTGGATAAGAGCAGTAAAAACTTTTGTTAAGGAAAAACAAAAACAAAAACAAAACAGAAAGACCTTTCTTGGGGCTTCTCATTGCATTTATTTAAATTTTTAAAAAAATGTACATCACTTATTTATTGAATACATAAAATGCCAGTGCTTTGCAACAGTTTTGTTACTGCATCTCTAAACTAAAAAAAGAAAAGGGGAAAAAACCCAGGAAAATACATTCAAAAGGCCAGGCTGTTCTGCTTATGCATGGGCAGTGGCTGTGGAAAGCTACAGCCTGCACTGTGACTGTTCAGAAGCATTGCCAAACATCAGCCCACTATCAACGAAAGGTTGGACATAAAGCATTAAAGGATACAAAGAACAACTTGACAGAGAGCAGGAGAGAAACAGGAAATTAAGAAAAATGCCACTTATGTCATGGGTGGGGGTGGGGCTGGTAGACTGAAGTGGAAGTAAGCATAAATGCTGATGTTTTTGTAAACTAGATTTATGGAGAAAGACGGAAGAACACAAAGGAACATGTTTGGCAAGCTACATTGCAGTGTGTGTGTCCACTTCCAATTTTCTACTTTACTTTCCAAGAGAAATGCAACAAAACTGAGGTAGAAATAAAGCAGGAGCACTACAGCCCAGATTTCAAAATGAGAAGCAAAATTGCACTGACAAGAGTGGAGTCAAAAAGAAGGGGAGGAGATGGAGAGGTTCTTTGTGGATATATATATATATATATATATATATATATATATATATATATACACGTATGTATGTAAGTTGGTTGGTTGGTTTTTGTTTCTATTTATTTGTGTGTTTGTTTTGGTTGCTATCCTCTGCATTCTATCAAATAGCACGGCAAGTCTATAAGCTAGATTAGTGAATAGAATGACACCATTCCCAGCAGTTTTAAGAGAGAACTTGCAAACTACCACCACCATCACCACCACTACCACCTATGCAACAAAAAGGCAGTCATAGTTTTTAGGTACTGTGACTTTCAGGGTCCTAAACAGGTCTTGTGGCTGACAGGTCTAGACACTAACACAAACTGAGTAAGTAGCTTTCAATTAACCAGTGTACCTTTTAAGAACATTTTCACTTAATTATCAAGGAGCAATGTACTAAGAACTCTTGCAGTTATTGACATAAAGAATTATTCTGCTCTGGTTAATTCCCCATAATTAGTAAAAGAACTTAAAAAAATCCTTCCATTTCTACTTTAAACTGTAAATATTCAGTTGTATCACACTTCAGTATTTTTCTGGATACATTCAAAGTAATTTTCCTTGCTATTTTCCAATCGTTGAGGTAAACATACATTTTAATATAAAGTAACATTGAAGCCTATCCTATTACTCTCAGCAGTACATAGTGCTTTCAACACATTCCTTTGAGGTACTGTACAAATCACAATCACTTTCCTGAGTTTTTGCAGACAAGAACATTAAAAGAAATGAACTGCAGAAATTAAGGTCCAGATTACCGTTACCCTGTTTTACCTGTTCTTAGCTTAATACTGCAGAACAGACAGGATTGAGGAATACTGTTGCTCTTAAAATGGCAAAAATCTGGTTTTCTGTCATAACACAACTGTTCATCTCTTTAGTCCAATAATGTTTGAAGTTAAAGCTCTTTATATTAGCACATGCCACCAATGTAATTGTGAGGCAAACAAAAAAATAAAGCACCACTCCAGGCACTTGACAGCAACTAAATCTCGAGAACAGCAGAATGGAATCAACACACGAGGTTCATGTCCTTCTGAAATCAACACACTTGCACCTTGCTCCTTGGTGAGTGTTGTCTAGCTTGAACAGAACTGAGCATCCATATAACTTTCTGTCATCTGGGGCTTTCAAATCAGAAGCTCTCATTTGATGCACTTTTCCTCCAAATCTACCCTGACTCTAAAGATGCAACTTAATCGTCATCTTCCCCAGTACCCTTTGCAATTTAAACACTACTGGAAAGGGGCTCTATTCCCTATGTAGCAGGTTTTATGTGTGTGTGCCAACATTCATTACATTTTTTTTCCTAAAGAACTTATCACTGACTGCAACCAAACATTTTGTTCCATTCAACATACATATCAAGCTCCTTTTGAGATATGCTAGGCTGAATCTTGCAGAAAGCATTTTCAAAGTCTTGATATGTAACGGGCCTCAACTGGCTGGGCATAATGGCTGAAAGGTCTGTGGCTGGCATGGCATGGAGGGGGCCCACCACTGCTTCCTGACACAAATGAGCCACGTCTAGTCCAGAAAAGCCTTCTGTGCGCTGGACAAGCAGTGCAAACTCCTTGTCATTGAGACAGTAATTGTGCTGTGAGAGCAGTTGTACTATTATCTGGTGCCTCGCTGTGCTGTCAGGAAGTGGGATTAAAAGTCGTTTCATGAAGTACCTCCGAAGGGATTCATCTATTTCTTCTGGTTTACTGGTGGCACAAATTACTACGATTTGGTCCTCAGCCGAAATTAGTACAGTGTCCAGTTGCATCAGAAATTCGGTTCTCATCCGACTCACTGGACTGTGTTCCTCATTCACTTGAGAGGAGAGAAGCATGTCAATGTCACTAACAAAAATCACCGAGGGCTGGCGACACCTGGCCACAAGAAAAGAGGCATGGATAATTTTCTCTGCTTCTCCTAACCACTTGGCGACTAGTCCAGAACCGGCAATTTTGAAAAATGTGGCCCCCAGCTGACTAGCGATGCATCTGCCCAATAATGTTTTGCCTGTCCCCCGAGGTCCAAATAAAAGGATGCTCCGAGGTAAGGCCGTCAGTCCACTGAATGCGTCTGATCTCAACACTGGCCATAAAACCTCCTCTTTAATGACAGCCTTCACCAGGTCGAGACCAGCAATGTCATTCCAGTCCACTGGAGGTCCTTGGGTGATAATCTCATTGGTTACCAGGTCGATGAGGTGCGTGTCAGTATTCTTCAGTTGCTCGTCCACAGAGTGGTTGGATGAGGTAGCTGCACGGAGTCCAGGGCCTTGCATTGGGTGAGAGAGGAGCTGCCTGTGCTCGTCCCCATGCTCACTCATTACTGGCGATGTGTACTTCCCAAAGGATTCACTGGATCTTGATCCCAATGAATTTTTAGCAGTACTGTAGGAAGGAGGGGTCAGAGCCCTACTGGACTGGCTGCTGAATTTCCTTTGCTGTTCAGAGGACATTAGCTGCTTCGTTGGCTTAAATGCTAAGGATGATGTTTCAGCACTTCTGTCAAAGCCATTCCCCCGATTTGTGTTTGAAATGCTGTTGTCGGGCATTCTGTACATAGGACTCTGTGTAGATCTCTGTTGGCCATAGCTGTAATTTCCATAACTGGAGTCCATATCTCCTTGCCCTGCCATATAGAAAGCTTTCCTTTTGAGAGAACTTGCTGAACTGTTTGTCAGAGCCGATGGTGCAATAGGCGTCAAACCATGGCCCTGGTAGGTGTAGCCAGGAACAGTGGTGGGGGGTAGGGGGGTGGGAGCAGGAATTCCTGAAGGCAGGTAAGCTGAAGGTGGAGGCGGTGCCCCCCCCGGGCTGTACCCAGACCCCACAGCAGTCTGAGGAGGATAGCTAGCAGACGGATAGCTGTAACTGGAGAGGTTAGAAGTCCCATTGTAGCCTGGGACCAAGGCTGGTGGCGGAGGAGGTGGTGGCGGGGGCTGTAGGAGCCCAGAGCTATGCAAAGGAGACGGGTGAGGTGAAGGAAGTGCAGGTGCTGGCTGACTACTGTAAGTAGAATGCAAATATGATCCGTTGTATCCTGGGGCATATTCCTGAGATGGGAGCCCTGCATGAAGACTGGGTACAGTGTGGCTTCCACAGGTACTACTTGAATAACTAGGTTCTGTCAGGTTGCTGGCTACCCCAGGAGAGCTCCCTATACTCGCAGAGACATCTGTTGGAGGGAGGGCTGAACTGACTCCAGCTTTGCCGGCAGTGATAACATCTGGAACACAGTTCATGGGATAAACTGCTTCTGAATTCAAGGAAGGCTGCCAGGGTTCACTTTCATTTTTCCGACCGTTCACTAGTCCTGATGGTGCGTCTGAATAGTTGCTGAGTACGGGTCGGTCCACGGGACCTTCCAAAATGCCGGAATACTTCTCTGCATATTTTTTTAGTAGGTTGGATGCAGTCAGAGCAGATATGTCATCATTCGCCCAGGCGTACTGATAGGTGCGCTGCAAATGACCTCTGTAGGCTTCAACTTTGTGGGCAGGAGACCGAGTGGTTGAGGTGATGTCAAAGTGCTGTTCTGGCCACTGGGCATGCTCTGGCGTCCACTGCATCTTCAAGCCTAAGAATTTTGGGGGGAAGAAAGTTAATTTACTTAGATAGGCATCAGAACTCTTAAAGCTTTTCCCCCAACTTCTTTTGTTACCTATTATTTTCCATTAATGATATGCCTACTGTAAAAGATCTACACTGTTTACCATACCTATTATGATCCCTATAACAAGTACTCTTTAAAATGGACTAAACTTCAGCCCTGTTTAAAAAGTACACTGAGTTTAAAATATAACTCTGTAGTTACCTATATTTTTTGCATTTTTAAGGAATAAGTAAATCTATTTCTGTCAAGCCCATCAGCTTACTTACTGTACGGACATACACAATCACATATATATGTACACACATATTCCTGTCAAATTAGAATTCAATCATAGTTTCTTAAAATAAGCAAACATTTTAAATATCTTGCACATGGCAGTATTAACATGTACAATATCTAGCTATTCTGTCTGTTCACATCACAGTTTCTGTTTTACATTTTAAGCAATATAAAAATGAGACACAGCTGACAGATCACATCTAGGATACCTCTCTTATTTGGTACTGAACACCTAGTTAGCACAGTATAATGCTCCCTGCGCAGAACAATATGACACAGACATAGCAGGTCATTCCATAATCCAACTCTCATCTAAAGTGGTCCACGACAGTTTCAAATCTGCTTCGTGGAGTGCAGCAAAGCAATCTCCCAGGCAGCGCTCCATCGCTTTCATCGCACAAAGCCTACAACTCGGTATGAATTACAACTGGCTCCTTTCTGCCTCTCAGTTCTGTTGTTGAGGCTCTGAAAAAAAAAACAAGCATCACTTGTCTGTCGGTCTTCTAGCGTTCTCCCTCCTTCTCTTATAATCCCTCCTCCCCCTATAGCCTGCAAGGTACTAAGGGGAGAATATGTGTGTGTGTGTGTGTGGGTGTGGGTGTGTATTTATACACATCCTCTCTTATACATCTTTATATATATATATAAAATATATGAGAGAGAGAGAAAGAGAGAGAGAGAGAGAGAGAAAGGAAACCGAGGGGAAAGGGAAGATAAGAATGGAGAGAGATTCTGGATTCTAACTCTTTCAATTTCTATAGGAAACCACGTAGGGCATATACTAGAGGAGTACAAGTAGATAATGAGATGGTCTGGGTAAGTCTATCATCTGCTGGGTTACTAAGTGAAGTAAATGGACTATGTAGCAAACTATAAAATGAGTATTTTCTTATTTAAGAAAAAAAAATACTAAGCAGTCAGAATAATTTGAATTTTAAATTGTAAAGAGACTTTAGAAATTACCTTATTTCACAGATTAGGAAGCCAGGGCCCAAAGTGATTTACAATGTACCCTCAAGGTCTCACATACAGTTAGTTACAGAAGAGGACTGGTACCCTGTTCTCCTTTTTCCCATTGCTGTCTCATCCCAGTCTAATCTCTGCTTGGTTTAACACTTCCGATTCTGGTACAGCTGTATTAAGCAGCCCTCCTTCATCTTTTCTGTATTACCCAAAGTGAATTTTGCAAACTGTCTTGTGCCCTCTGGCAGAGATGCCTTGATAAGGAGGAGGCCTGGTCTGCATGAAGCATCTGTGGCATCAACCCCCTTCTGAATTACTAGTCTATTTTGTCAGCTTCTACCCCCTTCTGTGCTCCTCCTCCAAGCTCTGTGGCTGTTCGTTGCCTGACTCTGGCTTCTGACATGGCCGGCTTTGACTTACTGCGATAAACTGAACATAACACACAGTTTGGTAACAGAATGGCATGTTGATTCCCTTCTGACTCCCTCTTCCTTGTTTGCAAAACCACTGCACCAGACACTGGAAGTTAATTAGCAGGATGATGCTGTGCTAATTGTGTTAATTTACAAGGTTTTAGTCAAAGAGAATCATGCCAGGGCTGGCACTGCTGTCATGCTTCCGACTTAATGATTAAGAAATACTGAAAACAAGGTGGGAAGGATTGCAGTAATTACACAATAAATGAATAAAGCAACAGGATTCATTTGCAAATATATTTTACTGCAATTGTACTCATTTGCATTTTGATTTTTAAAAAGGATCCATGTAGATATTCATTTGCAAATCACAACTCAGTTAAATTAAGTCTGAATGCTGCACAGTGTAACTTAATCAACCTATATATATATTACTAAAAATTCTAAAGACCTCAGTTCTCTTGTATATGCAACAGATTCTTTCTTCAGTTTCCCTCAACTACCCCCAATATTCATATTTATGTTTTAAAACTTTATATATTATTAAATAATCTCATCAAATGGGAAAATAGTATTATAAAATCCTGATGAAATGCAGCTTGCATCATTTCACTCAGAGAAACTCTGAGGATGAGTTCTAGGAAGAATTAAAGTGGTATTCTTAATTATTTCTGCTTTCTCAATCATTACTTTTTAAGGGGGAGGAAAACACATCGCAAAATGAGTGAAATGACCGAAACCACACTTAAAGGGGAAAAGATGCAATTTTAATGAAGCAGCATTTCAGGAATCATACTTTCATTAAATTCAACTGGAAATTATTAAGAGCAAATCACCAGGAACCAATCGCAAGTAATCAGTATCTAAATTCTTCTAGTGTCATGGGATTTACTTCAAGCCTTATAAAGAGGAGAGAATATTAATGTGACTGTAATGTAGAACTGTCTAAGAGACCTACAAATTCATTAGTCCTGTAAATTATTTCTAGGGAATTTCTATTATGGTTTTTTCCTTTAAAATACTATTAAAATACAGAGTAGAGAAAATAAGAACACATATGCTGTGAGTATAAATGTGATTAGTTTGATACAGAAAAACATGAAAAAAAGTCTTAAAGGGCTCAACAAATAATTAAGAAGTACAGGCAATGGAATTTAGCACAACACACACACATACATACGCACACATAAGTTAAAGGATGTTTCTTCCTTTCAGTTCGCTGAGCTAAGCCATTGTTGGCATAAGTTAATAAACATACATAACAAACATTATGAAGAAATATACTTTTTAACTCAAATGAAACTGCTTAATTTTTTTTAAAAAACATGGGAGGTGGGAACCCCCCATGTGTATTCGCTTAAATAATGTTTTCTTGTAAATGTATTATTCACAAAAGAAAGGCAAAAATGATTTTAATAAGTTATAATCACTGTAAAAGACAGTAGTATACAGTTTAAATAAAATAGAGTGTCCATTTCATAGGGTATTTTTGCATAGTTTAACTCGAGCAAAACTAAATTTCATAAGATTTCTTTTTCACTTGAAATGAAGCAAAGATCATATTTATCAAAATTATCTATTTGGAACAATTACTGGATACACCATTGCCTTTTGATTCTCATGCTATTTTTGGATGTGCTTACCAAGATAATTGAAAGTTTATTTATTGATGCATAGTAAATAACAATAACCTTTGCAGAGCTGCAAAAGGCAAAATTGTGTTTTGTTTAAATATAAGGGAATGGACTTGTTCATATCCCCTGAAACATGAGAATTCATCCAGTGCTTTAAAATCATTAATGTTATTTAAAAGCCTAAGTTAATCTAACCGTAAACTAATTCTTGATATTAGCAGGAGCTGAGGAAACCAGTGTTCAGGAGATTGTCTTGGCCTTCAGAGTACAGAGTCTTTTTGTTGGTTCCTTGAATTTTAACACTAATTGGAAATTGGTAACCAAAATTATTTTTGTTATTATTGTTATTGTGTTCATTGGTGGTGATATTTCTGATATGAAATGGAACAAAACCACTGAGCCAAATGTTTTCTGAACAACAAAAACACCCTGCTTTGTTTGATTGTATTACAGTTATCTGTGAGTCAGAAGCAATACACTTGTGTCACTTAACTTGGCACTCAAATAATAGGATGAGTTTTACAAACAGCTTTTATATGGTTTCTCTTCAGAACATGGAGATGAATCTCAGAAACAATACTATTTTAACATTATTAGAAGCATGACTTTAGAACAATAACTCCTACTGTTTGGAAATAGTTTAAAAAGGTACAGTAAAAATTCAGAAAACAGTGGAAAGTAAGAAAAAATAGTTTTTAAAGATAATTGAAGAACTGTTCCAAAACATCAATTTTTATTTTTGAGAGGATCAGAAAAATCTTAATACAGCTGGCAAATTTCATCATGCAACGTGTTTTTTTGAAAATACACAATCTAATCGAAAATTGCTTTTAAGATAATTTGTTACACAGGAATGACAGGTACTACAGTAAAACATCTGAGCATTGTTCATATTTTATTGTTATGGGATGAATCCATGTATATATAAATGAACAAATCTATATTTCCTACATAACTGGATAGTACGGATAACATTTGCCATTCTTACCATTACTGACCATTTGATAACTTTGGTTTAATTAATAACCAGTTACTGCCTTGTTACTTTACTTTTTCCATTTTTCTCTTCAACTAGTTTTGAAACAAAACTACTATAGCATCCTCTAAAGTTCTGCCACAGCTGTAAAATTTTAAACAGTAATAGAGAAAAATGAAGGATATAAAAGCAAATTTCAAAATGAGAGGAATATTGGAAATAAAAGGTTAGGTCTTCTAGAATCTGTTTTTAGCATACATTCATAGAAATATCAATGTGAGGCACTCACTGCCCACCCCACTCCTTATATACGGGTACTATTCAACAGTTCATCAGGTCTAAAATAGTTACTCCCTTTTACAATGGCCCCATAGGGTAATTTTGGCTACTAGGGGCTCTGCCTTCATTTGTAGGTTTTCTCAGACTTCCCAAGGGCAGGGACCTGAGGCAAACACCTGCAGGCATGGCAGGTTTGCCTGCTCTAAAGCAGATGCATAGCACTCACACAGGACTGCATGACATTACTACACCTATTACATTTCTTTGAGCTATTGCACCTCTGAACCTTTCATTATTTTTTAGCATTAAAAAAATTAATATAATATTAACAAGGGTTTCTCTGAAAGATAATCACTACTGGGGTAAATACTGTAAAGTAATTATAATACTTTATAGCCTCTTCTTTGTGATGCAACAGATTTATCATCTCTTGGGTTGGAAATGGCAGAACTAATGTACAAAGCATTCCAAATTTCCAGTAGAAAGTAGAAAATTCATTGGCTAAAAATACAGGTCTATGAAGTGAAGAACCTTCTGAGGACTGTACACCTCCTGGCACCGCAAACTGGCCCAGTGCAATATCTACTCATTATCATTCTTCAAGGGGAGTGACGACCAAATGAAATGTTTGAGGAGACCCACACAGCCTTGTCTGCCCATCCTCATAAGCCAGGAGGCCAACACAGCATTAGCTAGTATTACTAGTACTAACTCATTTGGTCTGGAAATTTCTTCAAGCTATTCCCTGATAATTCTTGGCTTTAAAATATGGCATAAAATCTACAAGTAATAGAAAGGGGAAAAAGTGAGGAAGAAGCACTGAAATTACGTATCATTTTTACCTAATTTTCTTCCATCTTTAGTGGACCAAAACTAGAAGATTTTTATAAGCTGAATGTAATAGAGGGGCTGTCAAATTTTAACTTTAGTTCATAAAAGATGAACTATGTACAAAGCATTGTGGTTCAGTGCTAAAAAGGAGGGTCCATTTGTCTATAAGGTGATGAAACCTTTTCAGCTCCCTTTTTCACAAGTTCACAGTCTAAATTCTCCAAAATTAGACTCTTTGATTTTAGAGATTAACAGAACTTTAAAATGACCTAACCATTCCAGACATCCTCACTTTTAGATTGATGTTTCACTTATAATGATGTCTTACAGGACTCGATACTATTCTGCATAATATAGTATTTTATTTGGAACCATTGATAGATTGTTGGGATAGAAAGGGACTGAAGGAACATAAAGAAGGTTCTAGAATTTTGTTTCACAGGTGAAAATTCCAGCCTGTAGAATCAGGCCACTGGCAGCATTGCTTACATTATCACTTATTTGTTCTAATCTTGGTTAAGTCACTTAAGCACATCACACTCACTTACTCAGCTGTAATATGTGGACAATAATGGTATTATTTAACCTTACTGTATTGCTATTAAGATTACCTGAATAATATTTTGTGAAACTACTTCCCAATTGTGAACTGCTACACAAACATTTCTTAGTATTCTTTTATTTTGAAAAAGCCAGGGTGCATTAAAGACAAAACAAAACAACACTGGCTAGACAGAAAAAAAGTAAAATCACTCCCAGAATTTACAAGTCAGTTTTCCTTCAACCTCAAGACAGCAACTGAAAAGGAAATTTTCCAGTGGGACTGTTGGTTCCAAGAAAGATATAGAAATGCTCTTGTTCTGAGCAAAACACAGAGCATAATCTGTTTAATCAAAAAGGTGTCAACGCTTCCAAATGTTTTCATAGTATTTTATTTATTTTTGATGTTTCCTGTGACTCAACATTTTAGAGATCAAAACTAAGAAATAAAGTACTTAGAGGTTTAAAACTAGTTAAAACTGTTAAAACTCATTTTAAAACCTGCAGTTTCAAAATAAGATATTCTAATTATATAACAATACTGTCAAATAATTTTTTCTCTTTAAATCACATTTTCACACCTCAAGACTCCAAATTATAATACATTTTGCAGCACCCTTCTCAACCCATTCCATCTTATTTGCATAAAACAATGCTTTAAAAAAAAACAATTATGAAGGCATTTCTGCCCAAATAGTTCTTAGTAAATATAGTTCAGATACCTCACCCTCTTACAGAGAAATTGCAACCTGACAGCCTGAGGGTAACATATACCCTGCAACTGTGTTTTGTTTGGCCAGCACAGGGCTTTAAAAATCACTCTACTTTTTGTTTTAAAAGATCTGTCTCAAAAAACAAAACAAAACAAAACAAAAAAATCCCTGTATTTCCGTATTTCCCATTTTTCAGACAAAATCTTACAACATTTCATTCTTGCCTGGCAACAGCTGTCTGATTCTGGGGACCAGCTCCCTCCTTGGGGCATATCCTACCCTTTCCACTTTGTCATGGTGCTCCTACCCCCATGACAATGTCAGGTATTTTTATGGTATCTACCAGGTCACGCAGGCATTTAAATTTAGGACTCCACTTTAAAGCTTCAAGCTCCAGTTTCTTCACTTACGTACCTTTTCTTGAAATCTAGAAAGTATACAGCTCTAAAAGTTAAAAACCTTTTCCAAATACTTTTTTTTTTTTTTTTACGATAAGAGAGTTTCCCTGCCCTCTTACAACACAACACATGGGAAATAATTGATAATTTTCTTATTGATTCAGTGTCACTAGTACAGCAGTGTGGAATGACGAATAATGAATGGTATCTTAAAAAACTGGTCTCAGATGCTGTTTAAGTGTTCCCCCTTTGCCGTAATTTGTCAGATATTATTTTTTGCTATTTTCCTATCCATTTTCACCATTCCTAATGTACTCCTTTGCATGTGCTGTATGTTTGATACCACGAACCAAAGCTTAATTTAACAGTGAGGGAAGCATCTTCTCTTAGTCAAATACATGAGCATTAGTACAACTTTTATAAGGTTATTTAAGCTACTCCAAAGTTATGCATCTCATTTCCTACAGAAAGTTGTTGGGTAGATGGTATCCAGGTAAGCAACAGATCTTGTTGTCTAAATGTCATTATTTTGGGGCTTAATAAAAGCCTGTGTTTAATGTTACAGGCACCATGACTTGGACTAGGATGGTATTAATATATACTCTGTGTTTAAACTAAACTTGTAGGTAGCTTATGATCTGAATTGGGTTCTCTACAATACATTAAATTGTATCCATAGCAAGAAAATATTCACCCAACAAATATGACCAAGTGTAATGGTGACTATTTTTGCCAATATTTCATATGGAGGATAGAACTTGATATGCAAGGGTCCTATCGGTCATTATTTTTAATTTGCAAGAAAATGGCTTGCATTTATGAGAATGAATGCATAAGCATTATGCAAAGCAAATTTCACTGATGAAGGAAATATCGTATTTAGACCACTGAGCCTGGATTCACTATATGATCAGGACAGAAACCGTATCATTTAAAGCAACCCAGGAAATCATGATCATAATTCAAACAAGTCATTTTCCCTTAAAATTTCCTATACTTAAAGTATACAGGTGAACATATTATCACACTCACACACAAATCCATAGAGTTTAAAATTATAACTTAGATCTATGCTTTCTGGGTGGGGGTAGGTTTTTTAAATGTTTCCGTGTAAAATTTTTGAATAAGAATCTAAAACCAAGTAAAAAAAAAAAGTGTCCCAAACTGTGTATATTTTATGGTAAGTTATTCAAAAGGATACATGAGGATGCTTGTGCATGCAATTTAAAATATACAAATAATTCACACTCTAAATCTTCCTAAGTGTGAGGTGTCATTAACTGTTGTAAGGGAAAGAGTCCGAGGTAAAAGAGCTGATTTTCCCATATTTAAAAAATGTTATTTTGTTTATGCTACCTCTGTGAATTTTAGACAATTTATAATCCGTTTAAATAGCACTTTGTAGTTAACCTTTAAAGTTGTCACTTTGCAGCCTTTCATTTCTCATGCCCTCTCTTTCCTTCTTCCATATACATTTTTCAATCCATTAAGGCCATCTACCCTTCCCCCCAGATCATCAGGACATACCACGTATGTCCATAGGGACTCCAGTGGCTAATGAATATGTATGTTCTGTGTCACAACAGAGCACTACCCTTGTTCTGCAGTATCAACCCTCTTATGTGTGTAAATAACAGGTGAGCTGTAGCATGCACGGATAAATGGGGTTAACACAACCTGAGAGCCCCACGCTATATTCATAGCATCCGGCCTGTATGATTGATCCATAAATGGAGTCCCAAATGCCAAAAGTATTATGCATTTTCTGAGTGTTTTGAATCTTTATTTTTAAAAGTATTTTGCAGAGATAATTGTCATCATCCTGAGAGTCTGAGGTTATTCTAGTTGATTCTCAAAATACTGTTTTGCCATATAAAATATATTTGCATTTTTATTTAAGAAACATCTGGCATGATACCAACTTTGAATTATGACACGGCTGGTATATTGCATCAATCATAATCCTAAAATGGTATACTAACCACTATGTGCACATACAACTCTGTGTAAATATTTGTGTGTGTGTGTGTGTTCTATTTCAACTATCTAAATGCAAAGCCCAATGTAGTTATATTTAAACTGAACCCTATTCATGTTTTGCCCAATACGCCAAGCTGAAAAAGGTCAATAAACAAACTAAGAAATCTTCCAAACCCCATAACCTTGCTTAAAATGGAATTTGCATTCATCTACTTCTCTCTGTTCCTCTGGAACCACACTCTAAAAAGACAGTTTACGTAAGACAAAATAGATATATCTCTGCTTATTTAAGATTGAGTGTTTTCTCATATAATTAGACAAAAGAGTAAGAATGTTATTCACATGTTAAGGATAAAACTGTTCAACCATTCTCCTTAAAAACTCTTTGCTTTAGGTAACTCTAAAGTATGCAAAGCCCAGACAAAATTTGTTTAGGTTATTTATGCATTTTTCTCTTTTTGGCAATTCGTGTATTAATTTTTAATGCAATAGCAAAATAATGTCTTGGACTTTGAAAAAAAAAATCTACAGTCAGGGCTGGGTGACATAGTGCATTAATTCAGTGTCCTTCACTCCTGGGACCTGTGTATAATTTAGTCCAGCCTGAAGAAAATAACTTTGATCTGAAGGTAGTGGAAAAAGCTACATATGAAATGAGTTTTGGTGGGTTATGTGTTGTTTTTTTTTTTTCCAAATAAGATGTTGTAAGAAGATAAACTGCTTTAGAATACAACCAACACAGCCCAGGACTAAAAGTGAAGAGCTCTTAGCAACAACAGTAGTTTCCTCATCTCTTCATTTTCACCACCCTGCCCCCTTCTAGAGTCTGGTGAAATAGACCTGAGAATCACCTATAATTGGGATCCTCTGATTTCCAGATAGACTGAACATTGTTAAGGTGCAGTGTGAACGACAGTCCAGTCATTAGCGCAGTTGGCTCTTCCATTTGTAAAAACAAAGAAGGCTGCATAATGAGCAGAAACAGGAGAGGATAACAGCATCTTCAAAGGAAGTGGCATTTCCTTTCCTGGAGAGGGTAGCCAATAACCTAATCCATGGGAAACAGTGGGAGGGACTACAAGTAAAGAAATTGTTTCTTGAGATCCCATCTCTGCAAAATTTCATCTACTATTATGATGGAAAATGCCATTATGTTAAAAAAAAAATTTAGGCTTTGGCTGAATTGAATAAATGGCTGATCCAGTCCTGTGTGTATTAATCACATGAAAACCATACAGATTCCTCTTCTCATGGTTCTCCAATTAATTCCAATCCAATTCTCTTCTGTTGTAAATAAACATGGCTTACTTTGTCTCTAATATAGCGACTAAAATTAAAGGTGCTCTTCACAAAAATTAGCGGGGCATGGTGGTTAATGCCTGCAATGCTACTGGGGAGGCTGAGGCACAAGAATAGCTTGAACTGGGGAGACGGAGGCTGCAGTGAGTTGAGATCATGTCACTGCACTCCAGCCTGGGTGACACAGTAAGACTCTGTCTCAAAAAATTAATAATAATAAAAGTGCTCTCAATATTGTTTTCAGTGGAGTTAAAGGCATAAAGATGTTGTTTTTTCCAGATGGTCTATACTATTGTAAAATTTTATACTTCTTATTGATGATTATGACTATTTTATTGGCCTCTTTAGTAATGGATAAGTACCAGTGTTTGCTGATAATTTTAGAAGACAGGGAGATTTTTTCAGCCACATTTTAATTATTTATTTATGTAGTTGTTGTTGTTATTATTATTATTATTATTTGAGACAGGGTCTCACTCCATCACCCAGGCTGGAGCATGGTGGCACGATCTTTGCTCACTACAAACTCTACCTCCCGGGCTCAAGTGATCCTCCAGCCTCAGCCTTCAGAGTAGCTGGGACTACAGGCCCATGCTACCATGTCCGGTTAATTATTGTATTTTTTTTGGTAGAGACAGGGTTTCACCATATTACCCAGGCTGGTCTCAAATTGTTGGACTCAAGCGATCCACCCATCTTGGCCTCCCAATGTACTGGGATTATAGGCATTAGCCACCACACCCAGCTCAGCCACATTTTTAAACTACCAGATAATTTAAAAGAAATATCATTTTAAGTGTGCCAGTTTTAGTTGTTTATATTAAAAGAGTAAGTCAAATTCTCCCTGCTACCTCTTTAAATCATGTGCCTCTTCATAGCACATAACTTCCCTAAGCAACATGAAAACCCAACTCTGTCTAGAACCATGAAATAATACAGGTAGGCTACACAAAAATTCAAATCTGGGTGCCAGTATGTGCGTATGTAAGCTTATGACTGCAGGTGTGGAAAGGCTACAGAGAATATAAGGGAAAGAATGACAGAGAGAAGAAAGATTTTTAAAAACCGTTTTTATCCTAAAAATGATCTATGCCTTACTAGCTTTATTACTGATAATCCAAGAAACCAAAGAACATTCTAAATTATTTAACTAACTTATGCACATATTTTTTTTTTATCAAAACTAAGCATCATTTAAGGTTTTCTTTGGCTATATATTTATTATTTGTGGCTTAAACCAAGTCAAAAACCTTAAAAAAATTCCGCACTTATAAAACTCCATATCTTATTGGTGATTTCAAAATGTATGATGAATCCTGATTTCCTTAATTGAATACCCATTTTTGGTAAGGTCTAGGTTTACATGAAAAGCAAATAATTAATTAAAATACATAATTGAGTTAGATGGGAAAGCACCCCTATTATTACTATAGAATCATGTTTGTGTTTTCTATGCAATACTTTTCTCCTTTTAAAATAGAATAGACAATTAATAGAATTAATGGTGAATCATAGGTCTAAAAGTAAATTCCTAATTTTTGAACTGACATACTTAGAACCAGTATCCTTTTAAGCAAATGTTTCTAAAAGCACCAGAATGCCTACTAAGAGTACTGTAATTTTGTTTATAGTTTACTTTCAATCTTCTGGCTATTATATGATCACTTAGCTAACTTGTAAAGATTTTTCTGGTGAGGATGTTGTATTGTGACTTCTGTTTATTTAGTGCTTCTACACCCAGCCACTGTTTTCATATTTTACTTTAGAAATTATTTTATCCAGTTCAATGTCAAATCATACTATGCTCTAAAAAAATCTATTCAAAAATATAGCATAAAATAATGTATTGCATCCCTGTCCATAGCTTCCAGAAGCATTAAAATGTTACTGGAGTACCCAATGACAGCAATGACAGCTTAATCACTTAAAGGCTTTTTACATTAACAGGTTTTTTTTTTTTTTTCTATTTGAGTACTAATATTCAGGCATGATTTGATATGAAGTTACTTGTTAAATACAGCTAAATAACACACTTTTAAAAAATATCAAAATCAAGTTTGGCACCTAATGAACATTCCCTTATGCTTTCTGAAATATTAGTGCACATTCATAAAGCTTTGTTTTTTTCATTTTTTCTCACCCAATATATGTATTTTAAAAATTAGTCTGATAATTAGCATGCATGGTGCAATAGCTCCCTGTACTGTTTATGATTTTAAGTAGAAGATCCATGGATAAAACATAATTGAAAGGTGAGCCTATTAATCTGGAGAATAACCTCCACAAACCAAATAGGAATGAATCATCTTTAAGCCTCTACCTCATTTATAGCTTTATATTCCTAAGAAGAAGAGGTAGATAAAAAAAACAAAAACAGAGAGACACAAAAGGTGACCTTATTTAGACATATTAGTCAAGGCAGCCTTTGCTGTTTTTAAGCAAACATGATTGTGACTCCACTTTGTCCATCCAGTTTTCCAGTGTGTAAATTGGATGATGACTTGGACAATTCTCTCTTCATTAGTGAGCTGTGGAAAGGAAATACAGAGGTGGCTTTTTCTGTTTTAAACTCTGCAGTGTCTTGTAGCTGGATTCCAAAGCATCAAGGAAAGATTACATATACATATATATGTATATATAATCTATTTTTTTCCGTAGACAAGCTGTCGTAATTGAAATGAAGTCTAATCAGACTCATTACTGTTTTCAGCAATTTGCACCACCAAAGATGCTTATTAGGTAACTGTGTTTAATAAACCACTCTTTAGAAAAATACCAGTAATGAGCTCTTAACAGCCAATCTTTAGCGTGAATGTAATGTGAAAAGTGTTCCTAGCGCTGAATAGATTTTCACATTTAGTAGTGTCATAATTAAGCTCCATGAATTGGTTGCTGTGATGTTAGATTTATTGCAATAATCTCTTTTTTCTATTTTAAATATACTTGGAAATACAGTTATCTTCTATTAGAGCTGGGTTATATTCATTGTACAGCAAATTTTAGGCTAGTGCCAACTTAGTCAAGAGGTTTTTCAACTGAGGACTTGTTAACAAATGGTAACCAAGAATTTTATGACTGATAATTGATATTAGCTATCAAGTCTTTCTTTATCAGTATTCCTATGCTTCAGAAAAAAGTCTTCCAGTCATTGGATTATACATGAAAATGTATCCCAGATATAAATATATTCTTATCATTAAGAGGGAAAATGGCATTTCTATCACTAGGCTAAAACATTAAAAAATTGACATTCTGAAAGGAACATCTGAAGAAATGTCAATTTTTCATAATAGCAGATATAAATAACATTATATTGCTTTATTAGATATTGTTGTTAAAAAGGTGAATACCATTTCCCTCCCTGATTCTTCCTTTTTTGCAGCACTATTTACTAAGCTCTTAACATTAAAGGACATTATTGTGGCTATATATTATTTATATGCACTAAGGGTGGTCATGAGAGTTAGCTAGGCTTCTTATTGATAAGATAGAAAAAAAAAACCCACTGTTATATACCTCTGAGGACAAGAGTTTTTCTATGCAAGATGATGCATGTGCTAAAATAAGTATATTATCTATAGAAAGTATGTTGATTATTCCATTAATAGAATATATCTTGAGGGATATCCTTATATACATATAATTATTACACAGAAGAAATTGAACATTTTTATCATTTTGGAGGACAACTAAGTAAGTCTTATCCGAACCTCTTCAGCTTGTAGTAATGAAATGCAACCTCTCACGTGGTAACATAAATATCTTTTGCTTACTAAAAGCAACCCAAAAGATGACACAATCAGTTTTGAAATGAGATTCTGGACATTCTGAAATGAATCCATAAAGAGAATCAATAAATGCAAAAGTACAAAAAATAACAAGAGACCAAGAATTTATACCCATTCATGATGAAATGTTAAGAAGGATTCTGTTACTGAATGATTCCTCTCCCAATGCAAACTTTCTTTCTTCTAACCTGGCAAGCTTCATGACTCCTAATTGAAGCCAATAAGCCTCCATAACTGTTTTCAGCTTTCTGAATCAATATGGCCATGAGAACCAAGACTGTCAAATTAATGACTGGTTTCATCTGATTTTTTGGAATGCACTTCTTTGAATTACAAAGTAGAGAAGAAACCAAACTCATTCCCTTGTGAATTGGTATAGCTTTCAGATCAAAATGTCTTCCTGTTTCTTTAAGTCTTGAATAAATCTGTATTAAGAATGACAAAAGAAAAAAAAAGCAGATAAAACTACTATAAAACCTATATGCTGCATCTTTAAGTTACACACAGCTAGACTATTAAAAAACAAATAAACAAAAAACTAAGAGGGTTCACTTCAATGCCTTGTGACTTCTTACAACCTTAAATTACTTCATGAATCATGTCAGGTATGAACGTTTTATAAAAGAGAATGTATGCTTAGTATGTTTGCTTTTATTACAAAAGACAAGAGACCACAAGATGTTAAATAATAATAATAATAACAACATAAAATCATTTTGGTGGATTTAAAAAATAACTTTCCATATGATAAATTTAGTTTTAGTTATGAATTTTAGTTAGAAATTGAGTGTCTATGTGAGAAGTGTCTGAACCAGAGCAACTTCATCTTGAATAAGGATTGGGTGAAGTAAGGCTGAGGCCTACTGGGCTGCATTCCCAGCAGGTTAGGCATTCTTAGTCACAAGATGAGATAGGAGGTCAGCACAAGATACAGGTCATAAAGACCTGGCTGATAAAACAGGTTGAGGTAAAGAAGCCAGCCAAATCCCACTAAAACCAAGATAGTGACAAAAGTGACCTCTGCTCGTCCTCACTGCTCATTATACGCTAATTATAATACATTAGAATGCTAAGAGACACTCCCACCAGTGCCACAGCAGTTTACAAATGCCTTGCCAAAGTCAGGAAATTACCCTATATGGTCTAAAAAGGGGAGGAACTCTCAGTTCCAGAAATTGTACACTCTTTCCCAGAAAACTCATAAATATTACACCCCTTGTTTAGCATATGATCAAGAAATAACTATAAGTATACTCAGCTGAACAGCTTGTACTCCCACTCTGCCTATGGAGTAGGCATTCTTTTATTCCTTTGCTTTCTTAATAAACTTGCTT